TAAAAAAATTTTAAAAATAATGTTCTTCATTTCCTATGTAAGAATACATTTATGTTATTGTATACATGTATTTATTTAATATCATATTCTATTTATTTAATACTATATAAAATTATAAATTTATAATTTTATGTGACATTTCTATTATAATAATGCCATCCCCACATGGGTCTTTTTTTTTTTTCTAACATGAAAATTTTAAGAGAAAAAGATGTATTTATTTAATATCATATTTTATTTATTTAATATTATATAAAATTATAAATTTATAATTTTACGTGACATTTCTATTATAACAATGCCATCCCCACATGGGTCTTTTTTTTTTTCTAACATGAAAAATTTAAGAGAAAAAGATAAATTTATAAGTACTTAATAAAAATAAAACATCTAATCACTTAAATCTATACTTTTTAAATTTCTTGGTGAGCCATTTCACCTATTTGGAGGTTCCATCCCCACATGGATTCGTTGATTGATTGTGTGGAGTAAACCTCGACCGATAGTGATATTGATTATGTCGACAGGCGGAAAGGTCCAAAGGGAGGAGCAAAAAGACAAGAAATGACCTATTTTGTGATAGAAAAAGACTAATAATTGTTCCCCGGTCGTTTTTTAAATTGCAAATGTTCTTCTCAAATGTTAAAGTACTATTCCTCCACTTGCCCCGAAATCACGCCGGCTACGTGCCGTTAAAGACAACGTTACAATTGGTGGATTCAAATTGATTACTTCCACGATTATCGATCGATGCATATTCGTTTTTGTGGACTCATGCTATCGCGCGAACAAGTGCACAGGGGAGGAAGGTGCGGGTGGGGGGGATGCTATCCACGATTGTCGATCGATGCATATTCGTTTTTGTGGACTTCACTCATGCTATCGCGCCAACAAGTGCACAAAAATTGAATCCAAGTGTGCACCAATAATGATCTTAATTTTATCTACCCACCGCTGGGGTTATTGACCCCCAGATTTTATCTAACCTGCTGGTAAGCGGTATGGACCTTAACGGAAATTTCATTTAATTTGCATAATCAAGAAAGAAAAGCAACTGAAATTGTAAGTTAGTTGACGAGTGCATGCTTCTAGTTAAGAGTTTTGGGTTTGAAATTCTCCTTCTACCCGTATTGAGAGAAGGAAAAAAAAAAAGATTAGAACCATGAAATGCTAAAAAATGCTTTTGTTACATACATTTATATCAGAAATGTTGTATCCGATCCAAAACTAATTATTGGATTGGTTAGTCTTTGGAGAAGTATGACGTAGTCTAGATTGCCAAAAAAAAAAATTATCTATATATTTTTATATTTTGTAATTTATGTGAATCTACTATTACAAAGTAACTTATCTAAGTGCACTCTATCTTCCCCTTCTTTTATGTTAAGATTTTGTCTTTATTATTTTTAGTGCAAGAGATTTTGCCTTATTGTTTAGCATTTTCTCAGTGCTTCTTCTTAAACCTCACAATGCTTTTTGATTATCCTAGCTTTA